CAATTCCACGATTCTCCGACATACATACATACTTACGAATCTATCTTACCTCGACGACATGCGCAGTAAAAGTTCTTTGTACATTTGAAGCTTTTCGGTTTATTAACCAATTAGTACTTTGTGTTTCACACCATTCGTACAACAAAGAATGACGTTTGGAGCATTACATTTCATCGATAAAATTGGAAGACATAATTTTAATAACGGGTTAACTTTTACGACGCGACAGAGTTTGCAATCCACGCCGACCTCACTATTTGCAAGATCAGCGTGTCCGGGGCAAAAAACAAAAAGACATTACAGCCGCTTATTGCAATTTGCGGTTGGAGATTCCCCCATTCCAATTAGCCCGCCCCGATTTACGCGCAATTGTTTTACCGCGGTCCTGATCCTGTTCGCACGGAGTTAAAGGACTAAACAGGCGAAATACTGCTTTAGGAGCTCGCGGAGGCCGCAGAATTTTAATTTTGGTTGCCGGGGGTCTCAGATTACGCCGACGATTGCGTCGAGCCTTCAAAAGATTACTCGCGACGAAGATGGCTCTTTCCAATTTTTTTCGGATTGATGAGATGAAAGTTTTCATGCGTCACAGAATTTATTATAATAAATTGAAGAATAAAAGAATTCACATTAATTGCTTCTCTACTCCATCAGTATGTACAAGGTGTTGGTAATTAAAGTGTCCGTATTTTTGAAATTTCAATTTTTAAATTAACGAAAACAATTGTAGCCTTATAAAAATTTACTATATTATTACAATTCTCGCATTGTTAACCCTCAAAGTTACATTAATGAGAATTCGCAAGCAATAAAAGTACGGAGTGAATTCATTGAGTGAAATTATTGACCACATTTCACGCAATATTTAGCATTTTGATAATTTATTCATTTGTGATAATATTTGAATTAAAACTGAGTACATTCACTCAAATATAGGTACACGTTAAATAAATTAGCTAAATCGCAGTAAATGTTATTATTGAATGACCCCATCCCATTCTATGGTTGTTGTGCGTTGTCTTTGCCTATTATTTTGGTAAAAGTTATGTTTAAATGCATTGGTTTGACTACAATAACACAAAAAAAAATCGACGAAAGGTTTCCTCGGTCAAACATATCGTATTATATGTTTTTTGGATCGCTGAAACCGAATCTGCAACTCATTTGGTCCCATCACGTCAGAGTTTTTTTCTAACCTCAAAAAATAGCTGGAAAATGGTAGAATTCAACAAAATCAACCCTGCAACCTGTTAAAACCTTATAACTCCACATCCTTATGATCCCGAACGAGATCGATAAGCCGTAAAATGATAACTCGCAACCGTAAAAATACATAACCTCAAAATTTGATGAGTCAAAAACCCAAAAACCCAAAATAAGCAGCGAATAAACTTACACATAGGGCACAAACCTTCATTTTTGAATAGCTAATCCTTTTAGCCTAAAACCCCGATACCCCATAACCTGAAAACACGACAAGGCCTCAATCTGAAACCTCAAAACCCCGAAGCTCAATAACCGTAAAACCCCAAAACTTCAAAACCAGGGCCGGCATTAATAAGGCTGAGGGTGGCGATCACTTCGAGCGTGACACATGAGCAGCGAGTCACACACTTCGAACAAAGAAGTCACTGGCCGAAACTCATAAACTTAAGCTCCCAAACCCACATACCCTGGATGACGCTAAATCTCTAAACCCGAGTTCCCAAACCCACAAAGCCTGAGTGCAGTAAGATCTCTAAACCTGGGTTCCCAAACCCACATACCTTGGGCACAGCAAACCCTCAAACCCAAGATCCTAAACCCACGTACTCTGGGTACAGCAAGTTTCATAAACCTAATCTTTTAAACCTACATACCCTGGCCGCAGAAAGATCCTCAAACACGAGTAATTGAAACCAGATACTCATTAGAATCCAAGAAACTTCAAAAGGCACAAAAATCTACGAGTTGGTGGTGCCTACATTTTGCCGTACCCAGGAAAAACGACGTGGACGTAACAGGACTCTGTTCCCTCCGGGGTGTTTGATTTTTGTGAGTCCCATTGCCTCTCACTTTGAATATCCATTCAGGTATTTTCTTGTAACATCATACTCTTCATCAGCCAAGTCACCCATCAATGAAGAGCTGCGGTCGCTTGATGACGACGCCTGGGGGCCCGCTTTCGCACCTGAACCAGCCGTCAATACTGGGGTTCCGAATCCCTGCATCGTAATTTTACCTGTGCCGACCATGACGGCATGAACGCCGCAATCCAGGGACTTCGCCGGGTCGCGGAAGAACTCCGTTGTCCGCCGTCAACACGAGGAAGTACCCTGGATGTACGAAAATACTTTTGATTCGGAACCTTTATTTTCAAGCTATTTGGTTATTTTTGGAAAAGCTACATTCATTAGGTATGACTATTAAATTATTACAGGGTGTTTGTAAATAAATGCGAAATATTTTAGGGGATGGTTGCTGAAGTTATTTTGTGAAAAAACTTCATATAAATGTAGGTAGAAATATGCTTCGTTTCCGATACAGAGTGTTTAAATTTAAATTTAAATTTTTTGTTTATTTTTGTTAATTTTCAGTTTTAAAGATATTGACTCGAAATTTGAAAAACGGCTTGGCAGGATAAATGTAATTTTTTTGGGGTGATCCGAATATTTCTACTTGCACCAGTGGCGTTCGTGCGAGAATACCACAACCCTTTCTTAATGAAACAAATCGTACGCTACTGACTTTTCGCGTTTTGATATTTTTTTAGAAATCCGCCATCAATTCTTAATGAAATTGGTCTCTTCATTTTTTCCGTAGGATGCACCGTTTTTTTTTTTTTGAGGAAAAAAAATAAAACATATTTTACTGCAAGTTGTGTATTTTTTATTTCTATTGATACATTATCTAGTAGGTTGCTGTCAATATTTCTAAATAAAATACAACCATCAATTTTCGAGTCAATATCTTTAAAACTGTTTGGCATAATTAATAAAAATAAATAAAAAAATTTAAATTTAAACAC